TTTCTTTCGATGAAGTGTTCCTGATTTCCTTTGGAAGAGAATTCCACAGTTGAGGGCTGGCACAGGAGAAGGCTCGGTCAGACAGTTGGTTTGGAGATCTGTGTTGGGTGAGGAGAGAGTCAGAGGAGGATCGGAGACTTCGCTGAGGTACATACACGGAGACGAGATGTTTGAGATAGTCGGGAAAGTTATCAATGTAGAGGCAGTCATGAGTCAGAATGAGGATTTTGAAGGTAATTATTGCAGAGATGGGGAGCCAGTGTAGAGACTGTAGTACTGGGGTGATATGGTCATGACGATGAGTGTGGGTGATACATCTGGCAGCAGAATTTTGGATTCTTTGTAGTTTCTGGAGTGATTTAGTAGAGAGGTTGGCATATAGTGAATTACAGTAGTCGAGTGACAAGACATCAGAAGTTTACAGGTGTCAGTATCAAGGTAGTGGCGGATATTATGGATGCTGTAGTAGCAGGCTCTACTGATGGAGGTGATGTGTGCATCCATGGACATGTTGGAATCAAGGATGACACCAAGATTCCTGGCACTTTCTGATGGTAGGATGTCTGTGTCACCAATACGAAGTGAAGGTGATGGAAAGCAGTCTTCAACTTTATGAGTTGATGTTTGGAGCCAATGAGAAGAAACTCTGTCTCTCCTCATTCAACATCAAATAATTGGAGATCATCCACGATTTGATTTCCTGAAGCAGAGCTCAAATTAGTTAATATTGAGTGAAAAATCGTCTGATTCAAAGACAATGTAGAGTTGCGTATCATCCGCATATATGTGGAAACCAATGAAATACCACCTGATAATGCCACCAATGGGGAGAATGTAGACTGAACAGAAGGGGGCCGAGAACTGATCCCTGGGGAACACCATATAACAATGGTGACTTTGATGATTGTACATTTCCGATTTTGATAGATTGTGTGCGGCCTCGCAAATATGAAGAGATCCACTTGAGCGCATTTCCTGTTACCCCAATGTGATGTTTAAGTCGATGCAGGAGTATTGTATGATCTATGGTATCGAATGCGCTGGATAGATCAAGGAGCACAAGCGATGTCACCTTCTTCTGGCCCATATTGACAAGGATATCATTGTGGATAAAGCTGTCTCCGTACTGTGAGATGTCTTGTAGGCTGACTGGAACGATTCTGCGAGGTGGTTTGTCTCAAGATGCACCTTCAGTTTGCCAGCTACCACTTTCTCTAAACATTTAGATACAAATGCAAATGTGTTAGAATATATTTTTAATAAAATGTTTAAAACTTTCAAAACAAACTGTATTTAAAAAACCCATGAAGAAGTATTCTTTGAGGGCTGACTAAACGCGGGTACATTTAATCTTTCCATTCAACATCGCTAACTTAAATATTTTCAACCGAAAATCAAACATATGATAAGATCAGCCGAGAAGAATACTTTTCTCTGTCCTTCAGTTTAATCGTAATGATAAAATACCAATGGTGTGTACAAGAGATCTTACAGTGTTTGGCTGTGTTTTTCTCATTCTCTTTGATGCTACAACGCAGCTCCTTCAGGTGACAAGGATCTACCACACTAGCAAGATACCCATCTCTGTATCATTTCACTCCTAATCAACATCACTAGACTTATAGTGGAGTTAATGAAAACACAAGACAAGTAGACGGGATGAATCACAGATCCTCAGTAGCGCGTCAGTAGATGTTCAGATTCAACGGAAAGTGTGTAAATGTTGTGTTTGTGACTCAGCAGCAGTATTCCTGCTATACGACGGTCTGGACCAGACAATAGCGTGATTGATGTAATGATCAACAGCTCATGTATCATTATTATTATTATTATATAATATTTATTATAGGATATTTATATAGCGCACATATCCACGCAACTAGTACATGCTCAAGGCGCTGGTTTTCCCCTCGATCATTGGATGTCAATTCCAGCGGCACATCGTATTATTAATCTCAACTCCCTGGGGAGTATACAACTCTTGCAGCCACTAGGCGCACCAAGTTACGAGGTACCCATTCACAGCTCGGTGGGCGATCTTTGCAATGTCGGGCTATTAACCAAGTCACCGAGCCTGATGATTTATAGAATTAAGATGCGACATTAATTTAATTTCTGTGTGAATTTTTTTCATCATACTGCATATTTATATGAGAGATAGCGCATGCGTGTATGGAGTTCTTTCTAAACTTTAGGCTTGAAATGAATTACATCTATTTTAACCCAATTGACACTTGATGCGCTCACTAATACGCCCACCCTTCTACCCGAGTATCTCAAAATATTTACCTACACCAGCCCGCATCTCAAGGAGCGGCAATTACAGCCATTGGGTTTATCCTAGCATCCCGACAAGTGGTGAAAGTATACAATTCGTACAAAGATAGTTTAATTAGTATACATTGTCCAAGGTCGGATGCCATTGATACACGTAACTTCCTTTTTACACCTTTCGGTTCCGGGTCAACAGGTAAAAGGTCATTGACCTAAGCGTGACATAACAAGCACAGCTGTCCCCTACTTTGTGGGCCGAGTAGGGGTCAGTTTTATGGATTGTTGAAAGTTCTGATACTGGTTAAATATTTAGACATGGAGTCTGTTAAACTGTCTGTGGGGATAAACACGTGTTTATTAGAGCTTGTTGATGTAATCACGGTTGGTTATGTTTAAGATTTTATCCTCTGTGTGTAATAAAAATCAGAGTTCACTACAAAGTACTGACTTTAAACTGGCTGTGATATTCCGCGTGAGACTTATTAAGCTTTTGAAAATGTTTATTTATAACCTAGAAGGTCTGGAGTCCTAAGTAGAAAGCCAACACGGGAATATTGTTTAATGCCGCACCATCTGTCTTCCAGCTGCTCAATAGGAAATGTACAATTTGTTTCCACTTTCACTGTCACCCAGTTTGTTTGTAGATATAGAAATTGGATTAGATAAGACGGAATATTTGCACGATCTTACACAATTATAGGAACCAGCCCCGTGAAGATCGGGTGGAACTGTTCTTCAGCGACCCAAGTAAGAGGAGACTTGTGGAATCAGAAGGTCAGACTCGCTTCCTTGGTCAATGTATGTCATCATAGATCACATGCGTAGATCAATTCTTATGATACAGCCACCGACTCGTCTTGTCAAGCCTTGATAATCTACAGATCTCCTTCACTCAGCTCGAATACTGCTAAGCGGGGTAATACCTCACTCACTCTAGGAGGCTAGTACATTGCTAGTACATTACTTATGAAATGTTATCAATGTTATACTTAATGCGATTATTATCTATCTATCTATCTGTCTGTCTGTCTCTCTCTTTGTGATGTGTGTCTGTGTGTGTTATTGTTTAAGCGACGTTCAACGGTGCCCAAATACTTGAAAGGTAACTTCCAACTCAAGTTACATGTACAAACTTCATATCACTTATCAAGTAAGGAGTGGAAGTAAGGAGTGGTTGACACAAAGCCGCATCCATCCTCTCAGACTTTCCTGCTAATATAAACACCACCTGGTTATTCTTTGTACTTGCACGTGCTTGCATGCTATCGCCAGTAACCATGGAAACAACAAGAAATCGCGCCCTGCTATACCTTGTACGTGTGTGCGGACAATGATCACACCATAATTACATCCTGTGTGACAATGTGTCAGGTACGGTATAAATCCAGTTAAACATATTCTCATAAAGAATCGAGCTTGTTGTACGAACTGTTATATTCAATCGAGGTGTTCGACTTATGTTTTCTGCATAACTGTACACAAAGGTTAGCTTGAAATAGGAAGATGAATTGATAAGCTCATTTTACAATCTGGCATATAAATTCGTTGTCATTTTATATTCGTGCATATATACGTTGTGCAGTGAGTGGCATTCTTCCGTAATGATGGATCCAGATACGTAATGATGTTTCCAGATACGTAATGATGGATCCAGGTACGTAATGATGTTTCCAGATACGTAATGATGGATCCAGATACGTAATGATGTTTCCAGATACGTAATGATGGATCCAGATAAGCAATGATTTTTCCAGATACGTAATGATTTTTCCAGATACGTAATGATGGATCCAGGTACGTTATGATGGATCCAGATACGTAATGATGGATCCAGATAAGCAATGATGTTTCCAGATACGTAATGATGGATCCAGGTACGTAATGATGGATCCAGATACGTAGTGATGGATCCAGATAAGCAATGATGGGTCCAGATACGTAATGATGGATACAGGTACGTAATGATGGATCCAGATACGCAGTGATGGATCCAGATAAGCAATGATGGGTCCAGATACGTAATGATGGATCCAGGTACGTAATGATGTATCCAGATACGTAAAGATGGATCCAGATACGTAATGATGGATGGATCCTTGCGTTTCGGTGAACCAGGTCAACACACTGATACATTTTGTGATTAGATGTAACATGTTTTTCAACTATCATCTACACTCATATGTAAGGGCGGTGGGGTAGCATAGTGGTTAAGGTGTTGAAGATCCGGGTTCGATTCCCCACATGGGCACAATGTGTGGTGTTCCCCATATCGTAATATTGCTGGAATATTGCCCAAACAGCGTAAAAGCCTACTCACTCACTCATACTCATGTAAAGATATCTTTCAGTCGAGTCAGTTTGCAGCTAGGTACAACGAGCGTGTTACTCTTAATCATTAATTTATCCAAACATTTCATCAGCAAGAAATTGCGAATACACATTACGTAAATTACGTCTTCAGGTGACATTATACTGCTTCTGATATAAAAAGTCTTACCTATCTTTTACATACTTTACTATATGCATAAAACTGACATCAAGGGTGATTCCCATGAGGTAGGGAGTTGGGTTTGATACCGTCTTTGAGTAAATTAAGCCGAAAATATTGAAGGTCGTAGACGTGGACCATTTCGGTGACACCCACAGGCTTTGGATGGCCGACAAAACCAAGAAATATATTGGGATGATTCTGATATTTTGTTATATCATGTGCAAACAAGTTTACATCCAGACTTGTATCTTTTATTTGTTATGAGTGATACATGGACGGTTTCACATCATAGTCACCTTATCTGATCGTCAAAGTATTTGCATATAAACACAGAAGCCGCAGGCTACCATACAATCTAAATATATCTTTTACAGAAAAAAACAAACATTTTCATCTGACCATGTATCCAAACAAATTACGTATTAGCACCACCCTGGACTCCATACACCACCATAGTATTTCGGGTTCGCTTTTGGAACAGGAGAAGGGTCCTGGGCCGGGACACGGGATTTCTTCCAGTTCTCCAGCCTCTTCTTCATCATGTCCAGTAGATCAGGGTACTTGGCTGAGAGGTCGAAGTGTTCGGTTGGATCTGCAGTAATGTTGTAGAGCATGAAGGGAGGGAACGTTTGGTTATCAGCTTCATAGACACCTTCATCAATTCCCAGATGTGGTAAAGGAGCCCAACCATTGTGAGATCCTGGACTTCCTTGCATGAGTTTGAGATCTCCGTACCTGATTGCTGCTGCTTCCCTTTCATCATAGATGTTGTAGACGAATTCATTTCGCTTGCTGGGTCCACCATTGATGAGCATGTCGTACTGACTGACTCCGTCCATGTTGGGATCTGTGTTCTCTCCACCAGCCAACTCCACCAATGTCGGGTACCAGTCCACAGCATGCATCATTCCAGTGTTGAGGTAGCCTGTCTTCTTGAGAAGGTTTTTACTGTAGATGAATCCAGTTCCTTTCGTTCCCCCTTCCCAGAGAGTATTTTTGGCTCCCCGTAAAGGCAAGTTATTAGATGCTGTATATGTAGGCCCACCATTATCAGTTGTAAAGACCAACAATAGATTGTCCATAAGACCTTTTTCTTCTAATGCCTGAGTGATATTACCAACAGCTTCGTCTAACGCACTCACCATTCCACAATAGATCCTTCTGCTTATGGTTTCTATGTTCATGTACATGTTTTCATATTTCGCTGGAACTTCAAGAGGTGCATGTACAGACTGGAATGGAAGGTACAGATAAAGTGGCTTACTGTTGTCGTGGTTCTCGATGATTTCAATAGCTCTGTCTGCAAACACATTAGCAGAATACGTTCCATTTGCGTCTCTATACACAGTCTTGTTATAGCGAAAATCCAGTCCTACTTCGTCTTTGCCTTCCGTTCTCGTGTGGTTAAAATAGTGTTCGGCACCACAGTAATATCCAAGATAGGAGTCAAAGCCTCTCTCTGTGGGTGTATACTTCCAGTTACAGAAACCAAGATGCCACTTCCCAACCATGTGAGCATCATAGCCAAGTTGTTTCAGTTTCTGAGGGATTGTTGTTAGATTGGCCGGTAGGTGTTTTGCTTCGTTCACCAATATGACGCCATCTTGTAGTCCTGTGTGATAGGGGAAATATCCCGACATGAAACAGTTTCTGGAGGGCGAGCACAAAGGCTGGACGTAAGAGGAGTTGAGGATGACACCTGCTGTAGCAAATCTGTCCAGGTTAGGGGTGATCATTTGAGGGTTCCGAAATCCAACATCGTTCCATCCCAGGTCATCAGCAACTATAAATATAATGTGAGGTTTCTCTGCACACTCACAGAGAACTGTGGTCAAAAGAAGGCATACAACAGATGTGAAATACATGTTGTTTCTGGTGTAGGCAGTGAAACGGAGTCGTATATAAGAGATCTTTTAAAGATAACGTTACATGTGAGTGACCTAATTTGAACCAGCTTGTGTTCATATCTGTGGAAGAAATGCTTACATTGACATATTCCTGACTAATTATGTCAGGCATTGAAAAATATGGAGATTATGTATGTAAACGCTAAAATGCAATGCTAATTTGTCATGGTTATGACTGCAACAGTATTGGATGTCAGGATTGAGTCACTGAAAATGAAACATGTTGACGTTATTGCTGTAGCTTAAAGGCTATGTTACTTTCAGAATTGCACAAAATGTCTGAAGCAAAACACCATAGAATCGAATTAAAAGACTTGCCGACCTGTTTTGGACAACAGGTTTAAGAGTTGTCTTCCGGGCTTTATAGAATGCAGATGAAGCACAGCATTTCGATTTTCCGGAAATTAATTTAGTGTATTATGCTACTATAGTGAGTGAGTGAGTGAGTGAGTGAGTGAGTGAGTGAGTGAGTGAGTGGGTGGAGTGGGGTATTGGGTGGGTGGGTATCGGTGAGTGAGTGAGTGAAAGATTATGTGAAGATTTAACATCACATCCGCAATGTTTCATCCATATCGTGACGAGAACCAATTTGATAAGAAAGATTATGTGTACAGTATAAAACCTGTCGTCAAAGGACAGTAAAACAACTATAAAAACAGGCTGCAGGTCGCCAACAACTGAACGTAGATCACCATACTAGGCACGCGTGAGTGAGTGAGTGAGTGCGTGGGTGAGTAGTGAGGGTTTTAGGAATATCACGTATGGAGGGATACCAGAAATTGGCGTAACACGTAATCGAACCCAGATCTTCGGCGTGATGAGCGAATCCTTTAACACGATAAACGAAGAAAGTATTTGCGACAAAGCACAAATAATCTGGATTTTCAAAAACTCTGCTTGAATTATAGTAATCTCTGAAAAGAATCAAGGTTAGTTGTGTCAAAACATTTGATTTTTGACTTTGTACAACACAATCTCGCACGACAAGCGTAATTAAAACTGCATTCCTTTATTTCTGTGCCACTTATCACTATACGTGGGGGACCAAATACATACATACAAGTGGTTACATGTCTGTCTTCAAAGGTTCAGGACAGTTTGTCAACAAACGAAAGTAAGTTTCATCTGAAATTTATATAAAAACAATATGTGAAATGCTGAACTTCCTAAATGATGACATGTTTGTGCACCTCGGTGGTCAGGACAAGAGGTACATGCAAGCATCTCCCAACATCTAACTGTTATTCAGTCCTTGAATATCTGTTTTTTTATCTAACCGACTTCCAGGATTGGCCAAATCAAAACAATATTGTCCAAGACGTTTAACTTAAGCTCCGTGTATATCAATGATCTGAATGCATTCAGTAATGGCCAAATGGCCAATTTCCTTGCACCTATTTACCCTTTACATAACATTAACACTTGACATAAAATAACCCCGCGAAACCGTCCCATCCGTTCATACGTAGATCTGTTTGTGACGATTCTGAATGACAAACAATTATCCCATCAGACTGTATGGGATCCGTGAAGGTCCGGGTTAGAAGGTAGCTTCAGTATCCCATGCTTGTCGTAAAAGGCGACTAACGGGATCGGGTGGTCAGGCTCGCTGACTTGGTTGACACATGTCATCGGTTCCCATTATTTACAGACCGCCGCCATATAGCTGGAATATTGCTGAGTGCGGCGTAAAACTAAACTCACTCACTCACTCAGACTGTATGGCAGGGGGGATGACTCTAACTTTCCAGCAGTCGATTTTCGCTTTTGGTCCCTAATATTCTAGCATCCCCAGCCTTTTGTGTTATCACTTTACAACTTTTGTGTTTTTGCGTACATTTAAGAAAACGTCACAGGACACATTTGACAATTTGACAAGTCATATTACTTGTTTGATCGTAGCATAAATGTTCTTTTAATTTACGGCTAGATTGTCAAAAATTGCTGACAGCTGAAGGGATGATGTAAATCCAACTAGGGTCCATGCAGGTAGCAAAAGTAATGTAAGTCCCCATGGTCCCTAGTATGGTGATCTACCTTCAGTTGTTGGCGATCCATAGCCCATTTATATACTGTATTGTCCTAATTTGAAATCCAATTTTAGAGAGAGTTGCTAGTTTTATTCCTTGATACCGTGATATCTTAGGTGATTTTACTGTCCTTCGTCGGCAGGTTTTTTATTATTTATATGTATTAATGGTGAAGTCACAACTTGTTTACAGTCACGATATGGCTAAAATATTACCGATGTGACTTAAAATCTTAACTCACTCACTCACTTCTTTGATCAGGGTTTGCAACAATGAAGGCCTTTCGAAAGTTTTCAAAGGTTTTACTGTAAAACATGGAGGATATTGACAGAATTTACGTGCGATGCATTTGAGTGTTCGGGTGAACAATTGCCATTCCTTTGCATGTGTTTGCACTGGTGCCATCGATGGGGCAGGATTTATATACAAACAACACATTATATATGACTATAAAATCTGTCAACAAAAGACAAAATGAACATTTGAAACTTCTATATATTTATTAAAATATGAGTATTGATAACAATACTAAATAACATTATTATAGATTACCAACAACCACAGTTAGGCCACCACACAAGGGACCAAGGTACTTCTGCTAACTGGACCCGTGAAGATCCGGGGTAGAATAGGTCTTCAGCAACCCATTCTTGTCATAAAAGGCGACTATGCTTGTCGTAAAAGGCGACTAACGGGATCGGGTGGTAAGGCTCGCTGACTTGGTTGACACATGTCATCGGTTCCCATTTGCGCAGATCGATGCTCATGCTGTTGATCACTGGATTGTCTGGTCCAGACTCGATTATTTACAGACCGCCGCCATATAGCTGGAATATTGCTGAGTGCGGTGTAAAACTAAACTCACTCACTCACTCACTTCTGCTAACTGCACAGTACCCAAGCTGGATGTACACTATCCTTCTGGGAACTAGCGATTGTCAGAAAGTTTAGCCAAAGAGTTACAATAAACGAAAATACTACGATTAAGAACACAGAAAAATGAAGAATCCTTTGAATGAAATTGGACTTACGTACCTTCTCAAGTGGACAATTATTTTACGGTACTTCAACCACCTTTTGATGTTTTGCCAAAGTTTCACCAAGTGTTTTTGCAATATCGGATATATTTGTTAATAATTGTTAATTAATCTTCAAGATGATGTAAGATTTAGAGCCGTTACCTGTAATTTTCTGGAACATCCATAAAGTATAGTGGGAATCGGTACAATGGACTCAGCAGAGATTTCATTCGAACACCGGAAGGGTTTATCGCTTGTAATAAATGTACTGTTGTCTTGACAAACTATGATGGTGAAGATGTCCCTGAAGGATGGTTGCAGGGCAGTTGTTGATAAAATAAAGAAAAATCGATACATCAATCAAAAGAATATAATGGCATATTCATACATTAAAGCGGCCTTCACACGGGAAACTAAAGTTTGACAACACATGTTGTTAAAATTTTAAAGTTGCCAAACTCGCGTTTTCAAACTTTCGTGGCACTTGAGCGATGCCATTTTGGAGGTGGGGTTGACCGGACGATCAAAACATCACGTGACAGTTTCGTTGACTGTGATTGGTTGTTTCTGGACAACACGAAGTTGACAACACTTCACACTTTAAACTCGAGTTTGACAACACCGAATGTTTGATGGAAAGGTTGGTGAGAAAAGAGATCGATCCTATTTATCGACAACAGTTTGACAAGTATGAAATTGGTGTTGGTGGCGAGTTGTTGGAATGTTCACACTCTCAAACTGGAGTTTGACAACATATTTTGAAGCTATTCTTCAAGGGAAGGTTCCAGCTAGTGCACTTACAAATAGTGATAGTATACTGATGCGAGTTGTATTTTTACTGCATAAGCAGGGCTTTTGTGCTGGCATTGCTGTAGCCAACAGTGATATCATGTTTTTTTTATGTTGGCATCATAAGTAACAGTTAAGGTGATGTATAACCACACCCCTTTAGTCTGGAGAGACAGCATCAATAAGTCATACATTACTTAACGTGTTCAAGTTGAAACAACTTCCGTTCATAGTCGTAAGATACTAAAGTACTGTCGGAAATGCTACAAAAATGCTTTTTAGCCTCAATATCATTAGAAAGGTGATAAATGTATTATGTTGTCAATATATCAACTCACCTATAGTGTACCTAATTTTTATTTTAATTGATTTAACATTCCCATGCATTTAAAGGGCAGTTTACAGGAGAGAATTTGGTACCAAAACAACAACCTAAGATTTTTGCAGTTCAACAACAGAAATCTGAAATAGTCTTTACATGTATGCTAATAATACAGGTGGTGTAAAAATATAAATTAACGTTTTTCTTAAACAAATAAATGTTGAATGTTTGTGTTACTTTACTTAATTATCGTTTCTTTATTGAAGAAATATTAATATAAATGTTAAGTCTTGATAAATAAGTTTCCCGTGATGGATGCACATCTTTATCACAGCGTCCACTATGGCCAACTATTTACAGACGATTGTTGCAAAGGTTTATAAGTTGTTTGTGCTTGAAAAAGACAGAGGTAAACCTTTCATTAGTATAGAAATGGTTTAATACAGAACTTGTAGAGCTGTTGGTATGTCTTACCAACAAGTCAACAATATTGTAAACAATTCAGACACGACAGGGACCGTCTCAAAAGCAACACCGGGACGTAAAACCATCCTTGACAACTTTAACACGTTGAGTACTTAGAGGGGCGGTCTACAAACGTTAGGAGAAGAAGAATATATATATTTTAAAGAAGCTACACCAGTGACTTCGTTAAATCTGTGGCCAATGTTCACAACTAGATTAAACTGACCGAATTACATCCATATATTTGCAATGAAATATATTGTTGACATGCAAAACATTTATTAAAACGTTGCACATTTCTACAATCAATCGATAAGATAACACAAGTGATAGGATTTTTTCCAATGTAC